GGCTTTCTAGTCTCTCTCCTTTAGCGACCCCTCAGGAGCACTAGTCGTCTAGGACGAGAGGCCAACAACATATTCTTTCCTCATTAAAGGGACAAGAGTCGACTACTCCTTCTACACAGAAGGGTGAGATAATTAAAGTTTCCTTCATTTACTAGAAAGACGAGACGACTACCTCTCGTATTAAAGGAGTCATCCTCCTTTAGACTGCACCTCTTTCCCCATAAAGGAATGAATGGTCAACTTCATCTTCTTTCCTCGGTAAAAGGACGACGGGTTAACTACTCCCTTATTAAAGGGAGAGCTCACAATGCTCGAGCAAATCCACTTCCCTTATTAAAAGGGGCAAGAAAGTAATCATCAAGCATGCTTAGCTCAGTAGGACTTGGCATTCCCAACGCTTGACAAAAATCTAATTCCCTTACTAAAGGGATACAAAGGATGATAATGAGTGTCCTATATTACAAGGACCCGGGCTGAATGAATCCCATAATTAATATCCCCGTACTATAAAGGATAGTAAATAAATGTCCTGTACTAAAAGGACTCGAGCTGAACGAATCCCGTAGTTAATACCCTGTACTATCAGGGATAGTAAATAAATGTCCTGTACTACAAGGACCTGGGGTGAATGAATCCCGTAATTAATATCCCCGTATTATAAGAGATAGCAAATAAATGTGCTGTACTACAAGGACCCGGGCTGAATGAATCTCGTAATTAATATCCCCGTATTATAAGGGATAGTAAATAAATGTCCAGTACTACAAGGACCCGGGCTGAATGAATCCCGTAATCAATATCCCCTTACTATGAGGTATAATAAATAAAAATTCCTTACTAAAGGGACGAGCTGAGTAAAGCTCATAAAATTTAATTCCTTTATTAAAGGAGTGACAATCTGAGTGAAGCTCGTATAATTTATTCCCTTACCAAGGGAAGAATACCCAAGGGTACTAAAAATAGTATCTAGGGGAAGAGTACCCAAGGGTACCAAAAATAGTATCCATGGGAAGAGTACCCAAGGATACCAAGATAGTACCCAGCCCAGAGGCAGAGTACCCAAGGGTACCAAAAATAGTACCCAGGGGAAGAGTACCCAAGGGTACCAAAAATAGTACCAGGGACAGAGTACCCAAGGGTACTAAAAATAGTACTTAAGGGAAGATTACCCAAGGGTACCAAAAATAGTACCTAAGGGAACAGTACCCAGGGTGGAAAGAAAAAAAAAGAAGTTACTGTTCACATGAACAGTACCCCGCGGACATTGTTCCCGAGGAAACAGTACCCAGGGCAAAAAAAAAATTACATTCCCAAAGCTAGACGAGCAAGCTTGGGAATGGGGGGCAACTGATAAGGAAAAATAAACTTAACCTACCTTGACCAGCCACCAGACCTCTTCGACATATTTCGTTATCAGAGATAAAGATTTTCATCAGATAAGAATGATGACATTTTTTATTCAGGATAATGAATGACGACGTGGTTCAACAGGGTAAGGATAGCTTAGGCACAATTTGAGAAAGTAAAAGGAGTAAATCATATCCCCGACAAATCTGGCAACAAACGATCTCCTCTGATTTCGCACAAGCGGATCTCCTGCGGAACCAATTTGATTCCAATCAACAGCCATAAATAGGGCACTGAGCTGTTAAAGAAGGTACGAGAAAAAACCCTTAAACAGAATATTACATAATTATTATGTGATACGATTACAAGTACTAATTTGATCGTCAGAAGGTCCTCGGCTGGCACCCCACTGGTGTCATTCGAAGTGACGTCCCTTTGTTTTGCAGGTAAACGCTGTTGTTCCAAGTCGCGAGAATTTTTGCATCAATAATAAAATTGGTAAAAAAATTAATATTTTGCCAATAAACCTAACCTACCTTGACCAGCCGCCAGACCTATTCGACATATTTCGTTATCAGAGATAAAGATTTTCATCAGATAAGAATGATTACATTTCTTATCTAAGATAATGAATGACGACGTGGTTCAACAGAGTAAAGATAACCTGGGCACAATTCGAGAAAGTCAAAGGAGTAAATCATATCCCTGACAAATCTGGTAACAAACGATCTCCTCTGATCTCGCACAAGCGGATCTCCTGCGGGACCAATTTGATTCCAATCAACAGCCATAAATAGAGCACTGAGCAGTTAAAGAAGGTACGAGAAAAAACCCCTAAATAGAATATTACATAATTATTATGTGATACGATTATAAGTACTAACTTGATCGTCGGAAGGTCCTCGGCTGGCACCCCACCGGTGCCATACGAAGTGACGTCCCTTCGTTTTGCAGGTAAACGCCGTCGTTCTAAGTCGCGAGGATTTTTGCATCAACAATAAAATTGGTAAAAAAGTTAATATTTTGCATTTCAATGACATTTCATGATATTTTTGTCATTTCATGTCAAAATATAAAATTATTGAGGCCTTTTAACACGAGGAAATGATAACATAGTCATTTTTTAAATTTTCATTAGTGGCAAGGATGTCGTTCAGTATACGCGTCAAATGGTATAATTTGTCGAAACTTTACGTAGGCCCAAGTAATAAACCATTAATAATAGAGGAGTGCTCATTGCAGTTGATGTTTAAAAATACCCTTTTTAAATTATCTAGCCTTTATTCTTATCTCCTCTTTTAATCGATTCATATGGGATGTGTGCGTGTGTGTATATAATAACTAATGTTATATGAATGGATGCTGAAAAAGGAAAAAAAAAAAAAAAGTTTTATATACGTATATATTTCTTTTTACAACTATTTGTTGAATGAATTATTTCCTTTTCTTTTATTTATTTATTTATTTTTTTAAAAAAGAAATTTATACAAGAATAGTTGTAAAAAATAAAAAATAAAAACAAAAAGAAACATATATATATATAGATAGAGAGAGAGAGAAGAAAAAAAAAAGAAGAAGAAAAAATTCACTGAAGGATAGGTGTAAGAAGAAATATATAATCGATCTTAGAATAAAAAGAAAGAAAGAATTCGTTCACTCAAGGATAGGTGTAAGAAGAAGGGGAGTGCTAATTGCAGTTGTTGTTAGGATTGATTAGTTTTAAATGCATTAATTACTTGAATTTCTATTTTTATAGAACTCTACAAACATTACTTTTTTTAGACAAAAATGCACTTTTAAATTATATAGTCTTTCTTCTTCTCTACTCCTTTAATCGATACATATGAGAATGTATATATATATATATATATATATATATATATATATATAACTAGTGTTATGGGAATGGATTCTGAAAAATAAAAAAATATAGATAGGATAATTCATTCACACGGATAGATTTTGACAAAAAAATAAAAGGAAGGGTCACCGTGTTAGAATTGGTTAGTTTTAAATGCATTAATTATTTAGTTTCTATTTTTATAGGACTATACAAGCATTACTTTTTTTTAGACAAAAATGCCTTTTTAAATAATCTAGTATTTCTTCTTCTCTTCTCTTTTAATCGTACATATAAGGATGTGTGCGTGTATATATATAACTAGTGTTATGTGAATGGATTCTGAAAAAGAAAAAAAATATAGACAGGAGAATTCATTCCAATGGATGGATTTGAAAAAAAATAAAAGGAAGGAGAAAAAAATCCGAAAAGAATAAAAAGAAAGGTACAAAAAAAAGAGAGAGAAAAGAATCGTACTCGATGGATTCTGAGATCGATTATATATTTCGTCTTACACCTATCATTGAATGAATGATATCTTTCTTTTTTTGATTGTGAGATTGATTATTTCATCTTACACTTATCCTTGAGTGAATGAATTATTTCTTTTTTTGCTTTTATATATAAATATATATTATTTTTTATTTTTTACAACTATTCTTGTATAAATGGGGGTTTTTTTTTTTTTTTTAAGGAAATAAAAGAAAAGGAAATAATTAGTTCCCCAACGATAGTTATAAAAAGAAATATATACGTATATAAAACTATTTTTTTTTCTAACTTTTATTTCCTTTTTTAACATTCATTCACATAACGTTAGTTATTATATATAAATATACACGCACACATTCTCATATGAATCGATTAAAAGAGGAAATAAGAAAAAATGCTAGATAATTTTAAAAGATATTTTTATCTAAAAAGTAATGTTTGTAAAATTCATAAAAATAGAAAGTCAAGTAATTAATGACATTTAAAAATAACTAATCCTAATACATATAAACCGATTAAAAAAGAAGGTAAGAAAAAAAGTTAAATAATTTAAAAATATATTTTTATCTAAAAAATAATATTTGTAAAATTCATATAAATAAAAAGTCAAGTGGCACTTAAAACTAACCGATGCTAATAGCCCCCGTGAAAAAGGTGGCAATCCTCAATACCTAATGGACAAAAAAGTCCTCCCTACAACCGAAAAATCTAGATGGTCTAAATATACTGCAAAGAAGCCAAAGTTCCCAAATGGTAAAAGAAAAAATCAAATTCAAAACCCAATAAATTGAAATGCACAATATCCGATGTCGCTCAAATAGGTCCAAAAGCCATAAAGCTCAATGTGAGCTGGTGAGCAGACCGTTGATGTTTAGGACGTAATATAAACAAATATGTGTGTATATAAATGTATCTTTATATTTTCAAAATTACTGAATTGCCCCTAGCATTTCTATTCAATGATGAAAATACCCCTAATAGGATAGGCACTATAGCCCATTCGTCTAAAAGTACGTGTAAATAGTAACCTGGTAAACGCATCACCATCAAAGACACGGAATTCCTCTGCTATTGGGTCGGAACGAAGCCACGTGTCAAGCGGAGTGGTCCTCAATTGTGTCCAAGTTCAACCTACCAATAATTATGCAGAAAAAAAAGGAAGTGTAATGTCTATTTTGTCCACAGCTTAAAACCATCAGTCCACGTGTCAACGAAAGAATTAGAATGCATGGAAAATTGATGGAATTAGCCACAGTGTATCATTATCCTATAATTTCATTGACTCTCTATTGTTGTGTGTGCGCATTTTTTTTTACTCTCTCTAGAGGTTCTCCTCTCTCTCTCTCTACAGTCTACCACCAAGCGGGTTGTGGAGCCCAAACTGGTCCTTTGCTTTGCTGGCTTCAAGCTCTCAATTGTTGGTTCTTAATGGGGTTTGTCTGCACAGACGAGAGAGACCAGAGTTTCAGTTGGCCCAATCAGTAAGGCATATAGATAGAGTCTCTCATTGATAACTCCTTTTCCCTCTCTCTCTCTCACTCCCTCTCTCTATTCCAATCCGTTCTTCAATCAGCCCCATCATCTTCCCCACTCGGAGGAGTGAAAGAAAACAAAAAACCATCGAAACCCACTTCAATTTTATCATTGATTTAATGGATCCACAGATCTAGCTCTTTCATCTGCAGATCTTCCCATCCTTCAATTGTAAGGGTAATATTTTACCACTTTTTTCTCTTATATATATGTATATATTTTATGTATTTTGTTTGCAAACTTTAGTTGAATTATTGTGATTGGGTTTTTGTTCTTTTGAGATTTTAGGAAGAAGGGTTTTATTTATTTATTTATCTACAGTAAGAGTTGGACCTTCCGGATTTGAAGTGGCTGACCAAACAGTTGTCTTTAAGAAAAAGTGAATTTGACTACCGTATTTTCAAAGTCCACCCTTTTGTGTTGGTGTTGGTTTCCATTTTCCATTTTTCATTATTAGCGGCTGTTGTGGTCATGGGTTTTCTGTTTTAAGAAGATAACGAGATGGGTTTCACACGTAATGACCTTATGCTTAGTTTTGCTTCACAATTCTTAGCTAATGTGAACAAACCAAAAAAAATATGCCTTTTTGACATATTGTTATGATCTGTTAGGTTGTGATTGGTACCAGTTCTGATTTTGTGTTTGTTCTCTTCTTGTTGTAGACTTCTATTGGTATATTTGTGCATATCCTCCTGTGGAGTTAGAAGAGGAATAACTCAACATTGAGTTGGTATTATTTTGATTGGTGTTATTTTGGGTTGGTGTTATTTTTAGTGCTTATTAGATGTGGATAATTTGGAGGGTGATTTGGGTGAAATGAGGGATGTTATCTGGGTTGATGAACTTTTTGAGGGCCTGTTTTCGGCCAAGATCGGATCGATATGTGCACTCGGGCTCGGATGCTGGCGGTCGCCAAGACGGGCTCCTGTGGTACAAAGAGACAGGGCAACACTTTAACGGTGAGTTCTCAATGGCTGTAGTTCAAGCTAACAATTTACTAGAGGATCAGAGCCAAATTGAGTCAGGCTGCTTGAGCACAAATGACTATGGGCCCTATGGAACCTTTGTTGGAGTTTATGATGGCCATGGGGGCCCTGAGACTTCGCGTTATATCAATGAATACCTCTTCCAGCATCTCAAGAGTAAGTCACTTGAACTGTACTAGAATTTGGAACCACCATACTTTTTAATTAATTATATGTATTAAAAATTGTTGATTACAAATATAATGAATTTTCTTCTTCTTTTTGGTTTCCTGTGAATCCGGATAATGAGTAATTTGAGTTTTAAATTTTGGATACTTTACTTTTCCTACATTTTCTCAGTGACCAAACATAGCATTTGGGGCGGTGAACCTAAAAACTTGCTATTCTCTAACCAATCTAAATTATGTGGAGTAGATTTCTTACAATTGTGGGCTTTGTGGCCTGGAGGTGACCTACTTGTTTGTAATCGTGCAGGGTTTACTTCTGAGCAACAATCCATGTCGGTCGAGGTGATACGGAAGGCATTTCAAGCAACAGAAGAGGGTTTTCTCTCTCTAGTTACCAGACAGTGGCCCATGAAACCACAGATTGCAGCGGTTGGATCATGCTGCCTGGTTGGTGTTATCTGTAATGGTATCCTTTACATTGCTAACCTTGGTGATTCCCGTGCTGTTTTGGGGAGACTTGTCAAGGCAACAGGGGAAGTTCTGTCCATTCAGCTTTCAGCAGAGCACAATGCGGCTATTGAGTCCGTGAGACAGGAGCTGCATTCCTTGCACCCGGATGATCCACACATAGTGGTTTTAAAGCATAATGTTTGGCGTGTGAAGGGCCTTATACAGGTTAGTTCTTCTTTTCAGAGAAAAGATTTGATGTTTGATAGTCATAGCTAGTCTGTCCATGTTATCTATTTGCTGCTTTAATCTGTATGATTGCCACATTTAACTTCTTATTGCATTATTTCTAGTTAATTGTTTATCGGCAAGTAGGGAATACTGGAATACTTGAAGAGTTGGAATTTCCTTGTAGTCGGGCTCAACCCCCACACTTTTACTTTTTCTCAATCTTTTGGACTTGGAGGGAATTCATTTGTATTGATGTTTTCAGGGTGCTTTCGATCTGTGATATTCAAAGGGACCAGTGCTGTGGCACATTTTCTTTTTTTGAAAGTCTGGATAGAAATGGAGTAACGCCATGTTCTTCTTTTATATGCTTCAATTTTTTTATCCTCTCTCCCTTGCTCTCATTTTAATCATGAAACAAGTAATTATTAGGAATATCACATCCTTAACATATTCCTCTCATTGGTTCAGAGATGCCTTATTAGCAGGCCTTATTTTGAATGTCCCTGATTCCATATCATGTTGGTCCAGTTTCTGTATAAATAATTTAATGAGGAAAATGTGTTAACTTGAATAAACTTTTAGTCACACAGTGTTTGCCTTTGAGGAAAAGAAGAAATTTGAAATTGAAATGGAAAAGAAGTCTTTCTACTTATTCAGGGCATCTGTGTGCTTGTGAGAGAGAGAGAGAGAGAGAGAGAGAGAGAGATTTATATTCTGGCTTTGATAAGTTTTTCCAATTTAAGATTCTATACATATGGTTACATTAGTCAGTTTTTTTAGCTAAACCTTGGTGTCCATTGTAGATGGTGCGGCTTCATAAGATTTGTCGAGGAGAATGAAATTTTTATAAAAAAATTTATCAGGACCATCTTTGTAGACATATACTATCTTCTACATCCACTAAAATTTTATAAAGCATGTTTAAAGCTATTTTTATGTTTACATTCATTGCACTTATATCCAAAAAAAAAAAAATCTTTACATTCATTTTATAAATCATTGGGATTTCTCCTTTTTCACTAGAATCATCACTTCATGGATGGATTTGCCTGCTTCAAACGATTTTAACCCCAAGATGCATTCCTATTGGGGAAACGATGCTATTTTTCTCTCTTCCTTTGGTCATATGAGTGGTTTATGAGGAAATAGCATGTCAAAGAATGAAATTCTTGTTCAAAGCAAAAGGAATTATGGATAGGGATTGATGAGTGTTGTTTGGTGGGAGCCAGACATGGTGGATTTACGGCTAGATCGTACTATCAGGGGCTTCAGGGAGATCAGGAGGCTGCATTTACTGAGAAAGTGGTGCAGAGAACTGAACTCCCGCAGCCCTGCTCAAGGTGGCAGTTTTTGGAAGTACGATGGTGTTGGGGATGATATTGACCACGGACAACTTGAAGAAGTGGTGCCAGGCAGTTAATTGGTGTTGTATGTACAAAAAGGGTGAGGAGTCAGTGAGCCATCTTTTATTGCATTGTCCAATAGTGTTGAGACATTTTAGCTATGTTCTTGGTGATATTTAGGATGCAGTGGGTGCTGCTGGCTTTTGGTTTGGAAGTTCTTGAGTCATTTGAGGGGATTTACAGTGAGGAGACAAACTCTGGATGCTTGGAGGGCTGGTCCCATCATGTCTTTGGTAGGGCTTGTGGAGGGAGATAAATAGGAGATCCTTTGATGGTGTGGAAGCACCGATTTGGGTGCTGAAGAACTCTATTATCGGTGCTTTATTAGTTCGTTAGAGGGCATTCGTGTACATTTTTAGAGAATTTTGTTGATTTTTTGGACAGCTTTGGGATGTAGTGATCTTTTTTCCTTTTGTGCAGTTGTTCCTCAGGTCATGATGCTGTGATGAAGCTTCTTACTCATTGATAATTTAATAGTAATTTATGATGTTACAACTTAAAACTGATTTTGGAATTTGATATATTTTGCGTTTCTTATAGTGTATTCGTGCCCTTATTGGTGGCAAGAGAATAGGTGACTGTTCAGGTGTAGGGGAAACTTTATCCTGGTATTTTTGTTCTTGATTTAGATATTCTTGTCACTTGTCACTTGTCATGATTTATATTTATTCCACATGGGAGGTTGGTGTTGTGTGTGTGTGTGTTCTTACCTATGGGGGGAAAAAAATTGTTCCTATGGGCTGAGTAAAGGAATTCATCTATCAGAACTAATTCTAAATTATGTTGAGTTTTAAAACTTAACGGGGATAAAATATAAAAGTAATAAGAAAATAAGTCGCATCCCTCAATGTTCTTGCCAAACAGGCTATTCTGCACTTATAGGATTGAAGATCATGCTATACCTGAACCTGATGAAATAATGGGAAATCTTCAAAATAGAGCGTGGCTCTCAAACTGACCTGACTTTACAACTCATTAGTGCATAAGAGGGCTCTGGGGCCGGATGCAAGATGTGCATGCACCAGCTAAAAGGTTGGTAACAAGAAATAATCCTGAAATACAAGGTTCTTGGGAATTCATGAGATCCAACATAGTGGAGCTCGTCGAAGAAATTCAAGAGTTGGTGAGGTGATTGTGCTACTATAAAAGAAGTGGGGAACAGACATGAAACCGATCCTATGTAACTTTAGTAAGTTCTCCACGTGTTTTCAGGCTCTAAGCCAATGAATTACTTGCAGTTACATGTTTGTTCAATATGAGATCTGAAAGGTATATCATTTATTTTCAGTTACTGGGTTTCACAGGACATCAATCCGTTTGATGAAGGTCCCGATCAAGGCTCAAAGGCTTAAACAAAATGAGTTGTGTTACTTTAGTTGTTAGAATGGTGGGTGCCTACTCATCATTTGATGGTGGATTATTCTGGTTGGTTGTGTTCCGAAGGTCAACAATCAGTTTTAGTTACTATTTTGGTTGTGTTGTTGGGTGCTTCCACTTTTGTTGCACCAATTTCTGCATGTAGTAATGTTATAAAAGCTGATTATTCATTGATTATTATTAATCTACAACTTCCAGAAAGGATCGTGTTATGGTTTGCTGAAATTCTGTTGTTCTTTAAGCAGTATTAAGTTTATGTTTTGAAAAAAGTGTCATCTTTACAAAAAAATCGTCCATGCAGTTGCAGTTATAGGAGTCATGCTTTGTATGGCATTGTTGGGTGGCTGTATCACCTTGAATTTGCGTGTTCATGTTTTCTGATGGTCACATATTTTATCTTGCAGATTTCAAGATCTATTGGTGATGTGTATTTAAAGAAGGCCGAGTTCAACAGAGAACCGTTATATGCTAAGTTTCGCCTTCGTGAACCTATCAAAACACCAATATTGAGCTCAGAACCATCAATTTCAGTGCATCAACTTCAGCCACACGATCAGTTCATAATATTTGCATCAGATGGTCTTTGGGAGCACCTTAGCAACCAGGAAGCAGTAGATATAGTTCAAAATCATCAACACAGTGTAAGGCAAATTGAATATTAGTTCTTTTTTCTTAGTAGGATGATTTCTAAACTTCAATAGTTTTCTTGTTTATATAGCAAAAAGAAGGCACTGCTTTTTCACGTCGAGAACTATAAAATCTTACTTGAACTAGGGAGACCTGAATCCCACTGGTATTATAGAATTACTTGGCTTAGGTACCATTTATTTTTTGACTTCAGTTTTTAATTTGTGTTTGTAAAATTGCTGATGGGCCTTGTCATTTCTTATTTTAAAATCAAGGAAAAGTCCAGGACCAAATATATGGAGGGACAAGGCTATTGGAAAGTTAATTTCATTGATTATTCACCTTTTAATTGATGACTATCCCAAGTGGTGGCTTGTATTTGCTCCTTTAATTGATGATATGGCTTTGCTTCCTTAAATGCATTTTAAAATCATCAATAAGGTAATACAATTGTATCTTTAAGATTGGCGATTTAAGTGCTAACCTGAAGATTCGGATTATCCTATCAAATGCCCTTTTGAACTTAAGTATGTGCTGCAGTTCATGTGATAGTGTTTTCCCAGGCTTGTTATTTCAATATTCGTCCCATAAAACAAACTCATAATTATTTGGATTATTTTAAAATTGGCATAGCATGCCAAACACCAAATTTTTTAGAAGGAAGAAAAGTATAAATTTGAATTTATTTACCATGCAGGGAAGTGCTAGGAGGTTAGTGAAAGCTGCACTACAAGAAGCAGCAAAGAAGAGAGAAATGAGGTATTCGGATTTGAAGAAGATAGACAGGGGAGTCCGTCGGCATTTCCACGATGATATCACAGTGATTGTTGTTTTTCTTGATTCACATCTTGTCAGCAGGGCAAGCACAGTAAAGAGTCCCAACCTGTCCGTGAAAGGGGGCGGAATCAACCTGCCTCCCAACACTCTTGCCCCTTGCACTACGCCCACCGAAGCTGGCAATATCTGAGGAAGATGTTTCTAATGTTATCGTTCTCGTGTGAATACAGGTAGCCTTTGAAGGATAAGAAGAGTGGGCTGTCATTTCTTTAAATGTACACTGTAACCTTTAACCGAGGACTAATACTTGGGTTTTAGTTTTTAAGCCCAAGAAAAGAGAACTGGAAAATAGAACTCCACGGAGACCATCACAATAGCTATGTCCTTTTAGCAGTTTGATTTTGCATGTTTCCTGTTTTATGCCTTTCTTTTTGCATTTTTGGCTTTTGTAAATCATTCACTTTGCAATCTAAAAATCTCTTTGGTTATTTACAATTACTCTTGACCAGTTTTAACATGGAGAAAAATTTCAGCAGTGAAGAAGTATTGTGGAGCAGGTTGGTGGAACATATTGAATCGACATGGAAGCGATTCTTTGTCTGGAAACAAGTGATTGGTGGTGGTTCAGTAATGGTGAAAGCTTCTCAACATGCTTTCGTCTTCTTATAGTATGTTGAAGATGCTGCTTAATGATGTTTGGTTCATTGAAAGCTGGCTGGCTTTTCTTTTTCCTGAGTATAAACTATAAACCGGTATGATTTAAACTCATTTACCGGTTACATTTTCTGTTTTTTTTTTTTTTTTTTTTTTTTTTTTTTTTTTTTTTTTTTTTTTTTGTTATCTATTTAGGTTGATGTTCTTTTTGTTGGAACTGCAATAGTTTTTTTTTTTTAAAAAAAAAAAAAAAAAAATCAAAACTGGTGCAACTAGGAAGGATTATCTAATATTCTACGAAAAATTAGATTAGGGAATTGGCTCCAATATGACCTATTTGTTTCTGTTTTCTATTTTCCTTATAGATTCTGGTTTTGATTTGGCTGCTTGTGGTTGTTTAATGTTTCACATGCTGTGAGGGGAAGTGATTGAACCCTAATTTGCAGGTGCACGGGAATGACTAGGATCAGCCCAATAGCAAGTTGGGCCAACTGTGGCATTGATCCTAGTCATCTTCAGTGCACCTTGGAGAGAATTTTAGTGATTATTCATATATAAAAATAGATATATATTGTTTCCTTTTTATGTTTTCTGACATGGATGCGTGCTCACTTTAGGGACATAGCTTATCTTGTGTCTATTTGATTTGAAAATGAGGGGGGAAAGAAAAGTAGGGGAATCACAAACTCAAGTTTGGCAAGATAAGCAATGTGTCTCCATCTTGTGTCTCTATTCATGATCTCGAGTTTGGCAATAGTGTAATATCATGCATTATTTTATTATTATTATTATTATATTTTTATAACATGTGAATTGGGTTGGTCACATTATATTTTATTTTTATTTTTATTTTTATTTTTATATTTTATATTTTATTTTTTATAACATTCATTTCTCCTATAATATTTAATTTTTTAAAATCATTAACAATGATTTAATTTCATTATAAATTTTGGTCGCCCATTATATATCTTACTTTAATTAGTCCTTTTGTTTTTACCAGTGCATCTATAGGGGTCTAATTAATTCCTAATTCCATTGGTTTCATTCATGATAGTCTAAAACTATCATCAAGCTAAGACTATTAGGGAGCATCCAATTTATGACAGAAAAGGTTAAAAGTAAAAAAAAAAAAAAAAAAAAAAAATCCTTCAACAAATAAACAAAAATAAAAAAAGCAACAACCATTGTTTATTGTTAACATGTTTGGGTAATCACTTACAAAGATTTTCCATTTGTTCAATTTGATCTTAAAAATACAAGTCCTTGGGTGTTATTGACCTATGCAATTTTAGAGTAGATATTGGGTGAGACGGGGCATATCAAGTCATTGGTGCGTTCATATACATCATTAAAGAAAGATTTTCTATACGTTCAATTTGATCTTAAAAATACAAGAGTTCTCTAGTGTTATTGACCTATGCAATTTTAGAATAGATATTTGGGGGAGATAGGCATACCAAGGTATTGGTATGTTCATCCAATCATAATATTGAAGAAAGTTTTAATATTTGAGTGGGAACAATTTCATTGAATCTGTCTTGTGCTATATATATATACACACACACAGCGCTATTTGTTTGAATCAATACTTGCAGTATTAAAAAAGTTCATGTTGTTAGGGGTAAGAACTTAAATTCTATTGCATATTAAGTCTTTTTGTGCAAAATAAGATCAAAATCAAATTTGTACCAACTTTGCCCTTATAGCATATTGAGATGATGTGTTGAAAATTTAATTGTTCAAGCTTGTGATTGTATAGATTCGAATGAGAGGACAAACACTATGCAAATAATGATAACAATAAAAAATAAAATAAACAAAAACAAAAATATTGTCAAATTTCCAATCGCCTTTTAGAATACATTGGATGATGCTCATTATTTCTTCAATAATGTCTACTCATTCTAATTAGGCTCTCAAAGTAGTTTTAGATGATTCTCAAAAATGTAGACAAGCAACTTCGATCATCCCACATTTATAACACACACACACACACACACACACACGCATACTAACAAATGAATTGACAATCACATACTAACAAATGAATTGACAATCTTGGAGAGAAATGAATTGTGATCATCAAGTTGTGTTAGTGTGATCAGACGGAGAGATCAAAATTCTTCAAAGTCTAGCAACGATATTAAATGGCTAGATTTAGAATTTAGTAGTCACGTTTTATCATATAAATGGACTATGAGCTATATATTAAATAATACTACTTAGTAATTGTGTTTATCAAGGTTGTGTAATCGCTTTTTGAAGATAGTCAAAACCTCTATCACGAATAAATAAAATATAAATGACACATCACTATTTTTGAAATTCAACTGAACAAATTTATGAAATCTGTATTTTCATCAAGGTTACACTTCTCTTCATATAGTGTAGAGAATACATATATAACTTCGCAGTTAATGAATAAGAATTCAACATTTAATGAACTTAACCATGGTAAATTCTATTGAAATCTCCCACTTGAGAGTGTGTACAAGGTTGTACGTAAAAGGAATGGTGGAGTTAAAGTTCACATCAGGAAAAGGTAATTACTTGGAAGTATGTGCATTGCGTGTTCTTGACATTAGCAAGAATTTAGTCTCTGGAGCCCTTCTATCACGAGTCAAGGAGAAAATACCCACCCCCCCAAGCGGCATGTGGTGGGGCCCACCACCCCATTCATGATTCAAGGACTCTCATTGCCTCGGTGTATCATACTTTTGGGATATTTAATGCTTTCTCGGATTTCAAAATGGTTTTTGAGTTTGACACCTTCACCCTATATTTAATATTTTCTCGAATTTCTAAATGGTTTTTGAGTCTGACAACTTCACCCTATCCGAGAATGGTGTATTTGTGAGAAAAGGGCTATGCTACCAATGGTTTGTTTAAACTTAACATTGAGAGTAAAACTCTTTATTTATATCTAAAACAAGTCGCGTCTCTGTTTCTCTTTTAAATAGTAACAAATTTTAGATTTTTTTTCTCTAATTGGTACTCACACAACCCTGGTTCCAAAGGATTGTTTGCATGAAATTTTTAGATTTTAGATTTTTTTTTATTATTTTATTTTTTGATTTAGGTAATACAATAAAAAGGTAATAGATTTGTTAAAGCAAAATTCAACTTAACTATAGGCATGGTTAATATCACTACAAACAGTATTTTAGAGCAATAGCGTAGATCAAGATATCATCCATTTGTATTGTCATCATTCTATATATTGTATTAAGATTTTTTTTGCTGAAAAAAGATTTAAACCATGTAATGTACTTATTTCTTTTATTTAAACTACTGTTTTGCAGATAATTCTAACCTACAATGCAATTATATTTTGGAGTTTGTTATCATTTTACAATGACATAATGGAAATGGCTTTATCATGAATTATTGGATTGGGTGGAATTTAGTAGACATGTAAGATACAGGTTGATCAAATACAATCCACATCAATCAAACCAACAAGAATAAATACTCATTATATAATCTTTACAAGCGCCCACCAACAACATAAAACCCCAATCATTTTCCCAATAACAATTGAACAAGTAGCTCCAACAACAGTTGTAATTGTCCTACTTGCACTTCAATTGATGCATATATAGACTGTACATTAAGGGATAGTTTGGTGTGGTGGAATGAATTAGAATAGATGAGAATAGAGGTGGAATGGAATGGAATAGTCATTCCTTTTGTTTGAAGGTGGAATGATTTTAATGGAATGAGCACTCTCCAAGAATAGTGGGGAATGATGATTCCAACTTTAAAATTGGCACCAAACACGAGAATGGGAAAAAAAAAACCATTCCATTCCACTTTCTTTTATTCCATTTCACCAATCCAAACTAGCTCGAATAGGTTATTCAAAATATGAATCAGAGCATTGAACTATGCATTCAAAAGCCCAAATACCGATTCAGGTAAGCACCATTCATCACACAGCCTGTCCTTAACCTGATTTATCTACATATTTTTAACATAGAGCATCCTTCATCTGACTAATAAAGTAATATATTTGATCAAAGTATTAACATATATTCACTTGGTATTTCCTTAGCATGCAAAATTTCTCTAAGAATCTTTAATGCATGGCTACATAACACACCCTTCATCTCATATTTTCTACAATTACACGATACAAAGTCACGTGAGCTCTTTTTAACTTGACGTTCTCTTCATTCTCCATCATTTACAACTATATATACAAAACATTCACCATCATTAGTGCAGCCTTTTATATCAGCATCTATTGAGTTTTCATATTGTCTTTGGAACTTATCAAATATTGCAGTGGTATATATATTACCCGCATGTAGTAACATCTTCATATGCATTTTAACGTTTGGCAATTTGTAGCACAATGCATATTTAGCGTAAAGCTCCTTATATCTCTTGTCATGAAGCATCCTCTCAAAATGTTTAAAAAATTGCACTAAGTCATGGTCAGACTTTAGATAGCCTTTCAAACTAGAATTGAAACTTTCACTAAGTTGTGTGCTCTTCATTCCCGCAAACCATGCTTGTTTGACATATGGCTTAATTAGCCCATTTTTCTTGAAGTTCAAACATACTACGCAACCAAGTATTTTTAACAGTATCACACTTGGTGATCATAGAATCCCAAGCACTTAAGAACTCGTCTTCATTGTCACAATAATTCATGAATTTTCCTAAACATCTTTAATTCCACATGAATTTTCCTTAAACAAGGCATTCAAATGTTTTATGGCATTTTGCATAATATGCCAAGAACAAAGTCGATGATATGTTTTGGGCATCACAATTTGTAAAGCCTTTGCCATTGCTGCGTCTTGATCAGTAAATATCGTTTTTGGTTTTTTCTTTGACATTGCCTCCAAAAATGTCTCAAATAACCATACAAAAGAATCTATTGTTTCATCGTACATCAAGGCAAGCCCAAAATTATCATCTCTCGGTGGTGATTTAACCCAACAAATATTGTAAACGGTCGATTCACTCTATTTGTTTTGTAAGTAGTGTCAAAAGAGACAACATCTCCGAATTGACTATAGTCAATTATCATCTTTGCATCAGCCTAAAAAATATTCGTTATTTGTTGCCCACTATCCAATTACACAGCATGAAAGAAAGATGGATTTTCCAATGCTTGTTTCTGAAAATATTTTAGCAAACTACCTGCCTCTCTAAAGGCCAAACTGCTTTGTCTTTTAGAACGCAAGTAATTCTTCTGATCTAAATTTGTGTAACCAAGACATGTCTTCCACCTAATTGCCTTCCCATTAGTTCATATGAGGACTTAATAGGTATTCCAGATGAATTTTCCAAGTCCACCCCAATTGCTTGAGACGTAGATATTTTACGCTGTGATGGCATCATGTGGGCGCATTCTTGTACAACCAAGCAATGAATATGCACTTCTTCAAATTTATCCACGAAATATTTTTTAGTCTTTTTATTTAATTTAATGTGCATATGAGCATGACAACCGGTCCTTATTTTTGCTCTCGGTGTCTTTGTCAAGTAATCTTGCTTGTATTTTACTCGTAAACCTATCTTGCAACAAACATATAATCTAAAAGTAACTTCTCCATTTATAGTACTTCTATTAACATGATCTTTTCTGACACTAAATCCAATTCTACGCCCATACTCATTATAAAAATTATATACTGATTCTTTCGAATCAAATTCCATGTCGAGTCTTGGTTTCCAATCATTGTCACCCATTAATCTATTCATATGATCGTCAACAACTAAAGAAGGCAAAAAGAAACTATCAGTAATCTAACATACTCTTTTCTAACATGAAATTTAAATAATATTAAAAAGAAATACTTGTTTTGGATTAATAACTGAAAAAAAGTACTTGTGTTGGATTAGCACTACATTGATAATCTACATAGATAAGGAATAAATAGAATGAACCATTATTTTCAAACACAGAAACATGATCATAAATATACACATATCACACACACACACACATATATATATATACATAATAGATACTTGACATACTGTGACTTCGATTGGCGTAGTAGAGATTGATGCACTATATTGAGTCACTTTAAGCAAGCCTCGCAAGCGGCAAAGAGTTAACCTAGCAAGAACTTCAAAAATCGACGGCCTGCCAAACTGCAAATTAAAAGCCTCTGTAATGGATTT